GTGTGTTCGTGGTCCATTGATCTTCGTAGAATACGGAAATCCCATTCCATCTTGGGAGATAATACAGCCACCATTGAATATCAGATCTGAACGATTTATTCAGTTTAATTTTATGATGCAGATATTTCGCTGAAGTAGATAGATCGATCATTCTTCGTAGAAACGTTCTACCACTGCGCACTAGTCTACATATAAAGTTAAGTTTTCCTATCAAAGACAGGATATCTCTTTTCGACGCTTTTTGACGATATCGCCACGCTTTAAGCTCATCTAAAATGTCCACCAATCTGTTATTTGTAATCCTCATCTCGAGAACTTCCGAGTCTATCTCGATTCCCAGAAACTCTAACTTCGATGTTGGTAAAATAGTTTTCTTTTTGTTAACTGTGAAACCGGCATCTTCACATGTTTCTAACATAATATTCAAATTGTTATTACACATATCAGATTCAGGGGGTCCACACGTAAAATAATCATCCAAGTAATGTATACACGAACTAACGCCGTTGTTTATCATAATATATTGTAGAGCGTCCGCGAAATCTGAAAATATTCTAGGTGAACTTCTGGAACCGAACGGCAAAACTAAATCTACTATATACACCATTACTGTATCACCGCTATCCATATCGATCATTTCCCATGTCGTACCTAATAGTTCCCAGTCAGCTTGTCTCACTGGAATATGTTTAAAAGCGTCTGCTAGGTCGATTTTACTCATCAAACTACCACGCCCATGGGCTTTAATTAGAGTTATAGCGTTGTCAACCGATACATATGAGCACGAATAATCTTCTTTTGAGATAAAATCGTTTATAGCGCCACCTGGAGGCCATGACAAATCATGTATAATCCTGTACTTTACAGGAACCGAGCGCTTTTTAGCGTATGCGCCCATCGGAGAGCCGACAAAATTAGAGAACGGTTGTGTGATAAACGGTCCTGCTTTACGACCTATTTTCAAATCATTGAGTATATTAGCCTCCACGGCTTCACTATATGTTTGTGTTGATTTCCAATTTTTATGAATTCTTGGACCCCGAGGTCCTGTGTAGCCAAGATTAACTCCAAATGTACCACCCTGTATTATATCATTTACAAATTCACGATCCGGATGAGATTTCAACTTATTCTCGAAATATTCAACATTCAAAGGATTATAGGGACTTATCTCTGTTTTACTTTGAACAATCACATTTGGCGTATGGCAACAGGCCAACTTTGCAATTTTTGCAGACGTGTTTTCTAAAACAACGATTTCCGAAGGTACATTCTCCAGTTTGGAATTTGTTACAAATTTCTCCACTAATATTTCCTGTGCCTTTGGGTTTCTCATTTTTCTCCGCCGTCTCCACCTTATTCGTCTCGAGAAATGGACATTTAGACACTTGATGATCTCCTTTACACCTGTAACACTTAATGGCAACATGTTTGACTGCAGATGCGTCTAATATAGTGGTATATAAGAATGTATCCAAATTACCAAACGCAAATGATTTTGCGGCCCCTAATTTCAGTCTAAAACGGATGTCATATTGTGATACAGCTGACCATTGGAATTTCTTGTCGCATTCCTGAATGTGTGCTCTATATGTTCTCAGATCAGAATAGGCGCTGGGGTTGTGCTCCATAATAATCATTTCATAGACATTCCATGCTGTATTCCATGATAAAAATGATTGTACTTGTGTTTGTTTGTTTTTCTTTTGTAATTTGAGTTGACCGTTATCCGAACATAATACTTGTTCATTTTGCCATTGATTGTCAACTGATTGATGATATAGGTTTGTTGGGAGCAAATCCACCAAATTCACGTACTCACCAGCAATTATTTTATTGGTAACTTTAACTGGCACCCCCATTGTACAGCCTTCGTAGGAAACCCTATTATCGTTCACTGGTGGAATTGTATCAGGGGTTGGGTTGGATTGTTGAGGTGCATTTTGTGCTGTGGCCCCTTGTACTGGTGGAACAACCCCCATATTAGGGTCAGGGAGGTTACGCTGTTGTATTATACCCTCCATTAATTCACGAAGGTTATCCTGACCTTCTTTCAGATTTGATGTTACCATTGATAGGTTCGAAATTTGGTCATTCATTGTCATTATTGCATTAGTTATCCAAGACGCTGATGGTTGATTATCACTTACGATCTCTGATGACGTGTCAGTCGAATCTGGTGTTTCAATTTTTGACTGGGCGTTTCCCTCTGTCTGAAAATTCGTACATTTCGGGCCATACGGTCCGTTATGTCCCCTGACCGTGTTACCACAAGTGCTGCAACACCTTGGCTTAGCTCCTTGCGTTTCTATATCACTATTAGTATCCATTATACGGTTCTCCAAAAACTTCAAAAAGCTTTACTCAACTATGACTAAGTGTAAATCGAATGAACATACGCATGCGCTAATAATCAGTTATAGTAAGATAATAAAGATGTCGCTCTGCTATTAAAAACTATTTACTTTGTAAATAATCATATTTTGAGGGCCGCTTTGCGCTAAGTTCCCTTAATAGCTTTTTTCTGATTGAAGGCAGGAAGATTTAAAGTTCAACCAATTTGGTCACTTCAAGACATTGTCATGCACTACATTATATCAAGGATGAAGAAAATTCATTCTAGATTAGGTATAAAGATGCTAACCAGATCGTTTTGTAAGCGTCCAAAGCTTATTTACTCGAACCAAACACCGAAAAAGAAATAGAACGATGAGGATTCCAAGTGCAACCTGTCACTGGGAAGGCAGGTGCCACTTTGTATAAGGAATGTTTGGAAGGGTGGTCAATATGTTCAGGTTTTCAATTTTTTTCAATAGACTAGATGCGAGTAGAAATATTCTTGATTTGCGTCATTAAATATTCAAAATTCTTTACAGTTTATGTGTCACAAGCAATTATATTAAAATTTAAAAAACATTGCTTCTAGCCAATGCCGGTGTAAAAGGGTAGGTGGTCCTACTCTCTATTGATTTAAATGGTGGCCTAATTACAATTATTACCACCTTGCAGGGCCTGTTCTAGGGGTTTTAGTACTAGTTGAGAAGGCATTTAAATTGCTATATTGACGTGAGCAATATTTTGTCGGGCGTTAATGACTTTAGTCGGGCAATAATGACATTACCCGCCCGGCTATGTTTCCCGGGAAAAGTGATATCGTTCAGTGCGTAAGATTTTCTATTTCAAATTTGCTATTTCAGCCCTGGGCATTAAGGTGTCACTCCGGTAAATAGCACTTCTCATACCAGAATGGGAGAAAATCAACTGGAATTTCATCAAAATTGCTGGTTATTTCTCCATAAATTACACGATTTTAAGGTTCTATACCTAATTTAAATTGCTACAATGTTGCAAATTATCATTTTTACAGGCTTAATAAACACGCCAGGTGTATCACAGGAAGAGTAAACAAGATTAATTTGTAAATTGCTACATTGTAGCAATGGTATGAGTATGATGTCACAATACACTGGGGCCTAGCTGGCTTAATTAGGAGAAAAAGGGCAAATTTTGCACATGGGGACCACATTTGACTCAAAATATTTGCATTTAGCAACATACATTTCAGTTCATTCTGTGTAATACTTGAAAGGCATTACTATAAAGATTGACAAAATGAAATAATCTCGGAGAATTTTTAGAGACTCAGCCTTCACCTATCTCCCCAAATATGGCTAGATTTTGTAGAAAACGTATTAAAAGTTTGAAAATGCAGCTGTTTCGAGCAATTGTTTGAAAAAATGCTAAATGAGCAAAAAATATCATAGTCAAATTTTCCCGTTTTGGGATATTAAGGTGTCACTCCTTTTAATACTTTAAAAACGAAGCCATGCCAACTTCAATGGTGTGTATAGTAGGTTTAAGTGTATGCAATGTGGCCATTTGAGGTAGGTATGTAAAGCTGAGGCCAAGTACTTTCTAAATGTGCCATTTTAAGAAAAAATCGCAAGAATATAGTCCCGTAAACTGTAACTACTTTATTCGTTAATTTTCATCGGTGAAGCAGGGATTTTACCTGAAAATGAGTCCCTATGTTGGCGTAGTGATATCTAAAAATCGAGACGCAAACCCTATGTTAAATATAGTGTCAAGATGAAGGTTATGTATAGGGGAACGCAGAAATATAGTCATTGTATGGGCTAGTTCGTTCGAAAATGGCGATATGTACCCCAGAACTTGAATTTTGTGATTTTTTTCAATATTTTTCGATGATTTACAGGAGTGACACCTTAACGGTGGTAACAATAGTAATAACGTCATTTCTGCGGGCAAAATAGTGAAATATTGGACCTTATTATACTATTATTTTCCTTATTATTTATACACAGTCAGTGCCGTAAGGAAAGGGGACCATAATCCCCAGGGGACTATAATTTCTTTTACATCGGCTTATGAGACACCAAGTTAATACATGTGTGGATCAAAATTCAGTCAAAGTAATGTCATATTTCTTAAAGTCCATGTCTAAATGTAAAAGCACATCTACAATTTTTTGGAATGTGACTTCTATTTCTGGGAGATTACCCCATGGCATGGGCCATGTTATAAACCCGGGATTATAAAATCACAAAAAGTGAAATATCTTTTCTTGTATCGGACAGATAATATTTTCTTTTACTGGACATATTTTAATTTGCATAACTATTTAGATACATGAGAGTAGTGATATGAAAATTGATCCACTAAGTAAAACGGAACGCCATGCTAGCTGACCCGAATGAGCCACACCCAAGCAATCTTCATCTTGGTGGGGTCAAAAATTCAGCATTGACCTGCAAAATGGTTTTTCTTCCTAAATTATTTAATAGATGGCAGACTAGGCTAAACATAATTTTGTTTACATTATTTATTCCGTTCCACAGGTACAGGTGTTTTAAATTTATACGAACTGTGACCTATGCCTTGATTGGTTGATATTCTAGATGACGTCATCTTTGACATATCAGTTTCTAGATATTTATTTCTACCTTCGTATTGTGAGGGTGATAAGTTTGGTGATCTAGAAACCATTGAGAGAACAAATCACTGTGAAACATGCACAGTAGAAAATATTATTTCACTAAAAAGTTGGATTGATACTGCGAATTAAGGATCTACTCGCAAAAACTCGGAATACTATCAAATGTCAACAATATTAGGAAAGCTCATACAGTAATTTCGATGCTAGATCTATAGGTAAGCTATTTTTCATGGATTTATAGATTTAGGCTGCACTTCAATCGTCCGTTTCGTTTTTTTTCAAAAAGAACAAATTCACTTTTCAAAAATTAGGCTACTCAGACAGTCAGAGAATATCTAATATTTCTATAGAGATCTAGATTTATTAGATATTGTTCATCTTGAATGTGTGTTTGGACTTGGAGACTTCATACTAGGCCTAGTCGCAGTATATTTGTCATGTGTGAACTGTGAACATTGCAGATTGTCTTGTAGATTCTAGATCAGACAATACCTGGACATTTCAATGAGAGACCAAGAGATGTAACTATATCAGTCACTGGTAAAGGCTCAAGTTGTTCTTACTTAAACCTGCACTTTTCGATGAACAAATGTGTTACAAATACTCACGATAAAGCTGTCATTATGAGCATTGTTCCTTCAATTGGTTGGATGGTAGCCGAACATCTGATTTCTCGAATATGTCTTGGTTCAATATCATTTGACTACAAAATCAGAACGTTTAAAATACAGCGCATTGAATTATTCCAACTGTATTTAGCAAAACCAGTGGTCTAGCTGCTGAAGAATCTTCGCTTCCAACGTGACAGATTGGTTCTCTTCCCTGTTCAACCTTTTTTGTTGAACTTATTGCTATGCTTTGATATCATGCAGAAATTCAGTTTATACCTACTACACCAACTAAATATAAGAGCAATAATATGTAGAAAAAATATATGTCCAAATATTGCGTTTTTGACTGAAGGTCTGGCTTTAAACCTATATCAGGAAAATCATTGAAATCATGTTGTATATGATATCAAATAAATAGACAAACATATTTATGAAGGGTATACTTTATCTTACAGAGTATGCTGCATATGTTAACCACGGTATGACATATGCATATACCAAAAACACAAAACACCATTTATAAAGCACCAGACAAACTGCGACTAACAAATGACTTGTTTTATATTAAAGTGTAAAATAATAAATGACCTTTCATTGTAGAAAACATCTAACCAAGCAGCCCATTGAACTACATAAAAGAGTGTGGGAAATAGACATCAAGATGAATGGTCTGATGCATACAGAGAATATTGCAAAGAAGATGAAATCTAAGATCAAAACTGAGCAGTTTTCAGACTTTTATACCATAGAGGAAGAAATAGGAAGGTATGTGATTGGAATCTTTATATGCCAGTGATCTGGACCACATCATAACTAGATACTGCACCCATTGGAGATTTGAAAATGACATGCCATTCTGTTGAAAATTTGTTTGCACACTATCAAACATACGAAATATTGAGATATTTTGACCAAAATATGTAAAACTGAATATTTTACACTCTGTTGAGAAGAAACTAGAGAGGTCATTGATTGTTGGTTTTGATGCAATCATTTTGATTTTAGTTGATATTTTTCCTTATTCCTTAGAATTCATATAATTGTACCGAGTTGACATCACTTAGAGTTGATATTATTTCGTTGAGTTGATATTTTTGTACTGAGTTGCTATTTTTGCAACAAACTTACATTTTTGCTTCATTGAAAGATTTTTACATTATTGAATTGATATTACTGGAGCATCAAGTTGATTTGAAACTGCATTAAAATGAAATCTGAGCATATTTAGTTTTATAGCTAACCAGGCTCCAGGGGCATTAGTAGGCCTATAATATCAAGCCTAAACACTTATCAAAATACCACATACCATAACTCTCACTTTTCTGATTTTGAATCTAGACTATAAAAACATAGGACAATAATTCCATTATATACCGATTTAGATTTTAACTAAGATTATGTTTAACTGTTGAATACATTGCCAATGTATTGATCCTATAATCCTAATGGAATTTGGACTAGTAATCAAGTGCTTATTCCAAGGTCCTGAGGATTTGGGGAATTTTATGATACAATTCTATTCTCATTATAATCATTCAAAAGGTATGAATTGAGAACCTGGTATAGATCCTACCTTACTAAATATAAAAAACAGCTTGCCAGGAACATAAAACATTTCTTCACTAAGTAATAGGGATCTTCACAGGATTTTTTCTCAAGTGGGTGCAAAATTTCAATTTCAATTCAATTCAAAATTGGTCAAAATATGCAGATTTTTCATGATTTTTTCATTTTCAAGTGGGTGCAAATGGATTTTCAGGTGGGTGCAAGCATGTTTTCAAAATCTCAGGTGGGTGCTGCACCCACTTGCTTTATGCTGGGAAGATCACTGAGTTAAACATATTTTACCTTTAAGAGCCAGGCTGTTAACTTGTTAAGAGTGTCGTTTTGACCTTAGGATTTTATTCAGTTTCTTGTCTGAGTGAAATTCTTTTAAAAATGAATTTTAAAGAGGTATTGTCATAGTATTTGAACAAAATCACTTCGTTGCAGGTTTTCTTTAATCTGTTCTTTAGATAGAATGAAAGTTTTCTCCTGAAAATATTGAAACAAACTTTTCAATTTTTCAATGTTTTATTGTTGTAGAACTATAATGCTTTATAATATTAATTTTTTCTGCTAGATTCCAATCATTTTTTGTATCAATAAATAACATATGCGGGTGGGCTTTTGAAGTTGGATTGGCAGTCAGATCGTTATAAGCAGTCATGTTTACTTTGTAAATGGTCAAAGCGGAGCTAACACGGATGTTCAATTTGACCATAGTGCTGTATATTAATGGAATGTTTGAGTTTAAGATTATTGCTTTTGTGATATACACCTGTCAGAATCTTGAAAGCAGTATTAGGAACAATTTCTATGGATATTTCTCTGCAAAAGGAACACAGTCCATTTGTGTTTCCCTTTTGGTATTAAATCTGGTGACCACTGATGTTTTGAAATTGTCAACTTGGCAAATATGCATTCCTCCCATGAGGCTTGGTGTAAAACCCCATTTTGATTGCCATTTAAGGAATGTTAACAAGGTCACTTCAAAGTGAAGATATGTACTTGATTTTCATTCAAACCAAATCCAGTATTACACCAGATAATGTATCTCTAAGGACCAATTAGCCAAGTGTTGACTATTTGAAATGTTTGTTGGACCTTGTAGTTGGTTTTCAAGATTTTGTTGTAAGCCTCATTCTGAAATAACGGATACTTCATGGCCAATGATGTGTTAATAGCACTCGAGTATCGATTGATCTTTAAAAATAAAATTAAAGCTGTTTCAGTTGTCAATATCTCACACACCAGTATTTTATCGAGTGCATGTTTTAGCTCTACTTTACAAATATTATACTTCTTAATAGTAGGTTTGCAAACAAATTAGAATTTAGTTTTTTTGTAACTTATGATTTGTTGCCCACAGTGGTCATTGAACTTAAATAAGTAATGTATGTTGTTGATAACTGTGTAATTACAAATTCATGCATTCAATGTCATTATAACCAAGTTAAATATTTATAAATGTTACCTCATTTCACTGTCTGACATGCTGTTATACCCCATGTACCACTATAGGTAGTTGCTACATACTTTATGATAATATTAGAGTATTACTCACTTACCAAATGAAGCATCTTTAATGTTTTGGTAAGTTTCCATTTACAAATAGAAGCGGGAGGGGGGGGGGTTCTTATACTAACCCAGTTTTGAAATTATAAAGCATATTTTTGCAACCAATAGTCAATGAGATATCATTCTCCAACGTTTTTGTGGATGGTGTTCAGCATTTGGTGGTTAGTTTCCAGTGTTCGGCAGTTGGCGTCTGTAACAAATGGCATGGCAGGCAACATTTTGCATGTTGATGCCATTTTTAAATTTACCGGAATCCCGAATATTATCTTAGAATGATTTTCAGGATTTTATGTGATATTTTCTTACGATGTTTAAAACATTGTATAATTAATCATCAAACAAGGTAACTAACATCCTAATATCCCTTCAATCTGTTGCTTCCTAAGGAGACAGGTGGCTCCAATATTAATATTATTTATAATTTTATGCTACCCCATTCAACGTTTTGTATATCAGTGAATAAAAACCTCAAGCTTCATTATTTGTTAATCTTCAAATGTATTAAAACAAGATGAACTAATGAGCGTCACTCTGAACACATTTGCTCAGTCATCAATATCAAGCCTTTGCATCTCCCATTTATGCTTCAACTTTGCTGTTGGTAGATAGATGGAGGGGGAGGGGGTGCAGATACTACATGAATACCTTGCATTGTGATATATAAAATCCTATTGCAAAGGATATGTGGATATCACTATGCCTGCCTTATACTTTTGATAATACAGGCATTTTTCATATGAGATACAGTTTTGGGCATAGCCCTAAAAAAAAACAAGTTTGCATATGTGTTAGAATAGAATTAGAAAGGTAGTTGTCTCAAATTAAGATATGACTGTGTTCTAGACTGATCTGTTAAATGTGATGTTATGTACATCAATACAATACATGTACCAGTATAACATGTACATTCCAACAGTAATAATATACATGTTCATTGTCTGTCTGAGGACAGGACCTTGTAGCCATTAACCTAGATACGCAAGATGTAGGAGGTCATCGTCATCGGCGTCATCATCATCCTTCATCCCCTCTTACTGTCCATTTTTAGTCTATTTCAGATAAAGGGAGGGGGGGGGCACGGGACCTTGTAGTAAGATTAATCTTCTGTGTGTTTGATGCAAACTATAAATATTTTTTTTTACGTTCCTTTCTTAAGTTGCTAATCAGGCATAGATGTACAGTATGCTGTAACAAATGTTGCAACATGTGGTATATACATGTAAACAATAGATGAATTAAATGCATTGACGTATGTGATGAACTTCTCACGTCATCACATAAAAAGTTTCATTTTATTTCAGGCTATTATACAATACAAGGCTTGATCAATAAGTTCTCATTATATTTTGTAACTTGTAATTTTTTCGATTAAGCTCAGATTGAATATGTTTTTGTCTGTAAGGAATTAAGAGCACAGTGCAACCAGTTATTGGTAAACAGTTTCTAAAGGTATCCACTGTAGACAGGTTTTACTATGTATGGCCCCCCTCGAATTCTTGTTTCGTTTATAATTCCAATTTTTTCACATTTGATATGATTTAGGAATGCATATCTAGTATCTCCTCTTTTTGAATAATGAAATAGTATGGAATGTAATATCGTAGACCACAAAACCCTACTAATGTTTCAAATAAATGTTTTTTTAAATTTTTCTTTAGCTTATTTGTGTCTGATGTATCAACAGAGTAAACCGCATATTAAAAAAGCACTATATAAAAATGATAGCACATGGCTTATTTGACATTTATTACATTCCAATATATGGTGACACCCTCATAAATTATTTCAGATTTAGGTTATTTTTTGGTTGATGAAATAGTTCAGTCACAATTTGATTTGTTTTGACATGAAATGGTTCCAAATATTGATTATGACTGTTTGAAATATTTCCAAATTGTCAGAAAATAAGTTTGCTCAGAAGGTAAGGCAATTGAGGGACTGATTTTCCACAGTTAATAATAAACTTTTAATTAATAAGTACATGTCAACGCATATATGTACCATATTTAACCCTTACCACCTTAAATATTATAAAGCTCTAATATTTTCAATGCATGATCATCACTGCTTGGTTCATCTCTTACATGGACGAGGTACAGAAATCTCTATCCAAACCTCAAGTTCAAGAGGGGCAATGCTAAATAGCTCATATCTAGGGACTGCACCTTCAAATTGTCTGGAGTTATTGTTATAGTCTCCAACTTTTTTGTGAATAGTATTCGGTGTCTGTAACAAATGGCAGGTGGTGACATTTTGGATATTAATGCCTTGTGTTTTTGCAATGAATTTGTCTTTCATGGTTTGCCATCTAAATGTAGACTTAGGAAATGAAATTAACATTAGCCTTGCTTCAAGTTCCTGTGACCCCATTTTAAATGTGACCCTTCTGCCCCCCCCAAACATATATCACCTCATAGAGGTGAATGGATAAGAAAAGGTAATGTAAAGACTTGATGCAAGACTATCTACCATCTTTTGAAAAATAGAATATGGATGACTTTGTTGTTTTTTAAACTTCATACATGAACTTGTTATATGACTTCAAGCAAATGTTAAGACGCAGTTAAATCATATTCACTTTTTGTCATGTGATTCCATGAAGATATGCACCTTTACCTTTGATATCATTTATTGTATGTCATTTACAATGTTATAATGTCAAAACTTCAAAATGTCAAAAACATGCATGAATTTAGCATGTTTCACAGTCTCACTGCAAAACTGGACATGTTTACTCTTTAAATTGATTGTAAATTAGCTCAATCTTTACAACACAATTATTAAATCATCATGATTCTACTGAAATATATAAAGTTAAATATTGATCACTTATTCGTTAATGTTTAATCAAATCTAAAACCGTTAGCAGGTTTAAGTAGATTACCTATGATGTAATGATCTTTTTTGTACAATGATCATTGATTGAGTATTTCGATGATAATCAATGAAAATATTCTGTATCATCAAATTAATGTTTTCAAGACATTTGATTGTTGAATTGTTAAACTGTGCAAAATACAAACACCTCGAGAGTGCAAATTCCTCATTTCCAGAATTCTGCCCAAATTTGGTCAAAATGTGCCGATTTTCATGTTTTGTCTTTTAGACTATATGTATAATACATAGATTTTCAGGTGGGTGCAGGTGGGTGCAAATCTATTTTCAAAATTTCAAATGGATCTGATACAGCACTCACTTACTTCGTGGCATAGCTGGGGAGATAACTTGAAACTATATTTTCACCTTAAATGTCTGAGATCCATGAATGAATATTATATATACACATATGATCAGGTATATTTGTCCTGCATATTAAATGCACTTGCAAATTGTAGATATACTTCATCATTCACAGATTGCAACTGGTCACATGCCTGATATGATAGCTCTTATGTTTATCTTTACCTTATAACACCCCTACCCTTTTCAAGATTCTTACACTTAAAAGAGAGCTTCATCTGTACTCTTTGAATAAGCGATAATGCTTTGATCTCAAGTCATTTGATACAATACAACTGATATCAGCTACTTTCCATTTGAGTTGTTATGATCACGCTGATACTCTGAAATTATTAAAATATAATATCCTAATACTCGAAGAGTGTAGTTATTCCAACTTGCCTTTATGCTCCAGGGTTAATACCCTGGTCCCAAATTCTGCACTCATTCTTTATCAGGTTGCTCAAAATAAGTGACTACTAATATTTCTCACTTAGATTTGATACAGGTTCTGGTTTATTTTGGTAATAAAGCAAATTCACACGTTATGAAGACATCTTGAAATGTATGGTGTAAGAGATCACCATAAATAAAAGAAATCTTAAAAAATAAATAAATAGATTGATTTTGTTGTGTTTAAGAGCAGAGATTAGAGACTAAATGAGAATGTAGTTGTTCATATATTTGTGTTTCCAAATGTTAACCTTTGTGCTTTATCATCAGCTTGAATTTTTATCAAGATTTTTAATGTTCATGTTTAGTTTGGTTAAAGGTACACTGTCATGTTTTTGTTTGAGTCTGGAGTTAAAGGTCATGTTCAGTGAACCTCACAGAATAAAGATGACACTAAAAAGATCTAAAATATAAAAATGGTGTTCAAGAAATGTTGGTTCATTCCCAAGGGGTAATTTAGGGACATTTTGAGATGACAGAGGAGAGGGGTAATTTGATGTATTTTTCCATATATGTCATTGTTATACTGATCTGCCAAGTTTGTAAGTTTTCTTCCAGGGGGGGGGGGGGGGTCACATTGACAAATTTGGCCCAAAATCATATGAAAAATGCTCAGAATCACATACCCTGCGTGCAGAGTCTAGTTAAACTACACTCTGCCTAGTAGAGACCATATTACAGTTTAGTAGCCCCAACCCCACGACGGGTACCGGTGGCAGTTCGGGTAATAAATCACTTTTGACCTACGCGCTGACCTTTCTTCCACCAATCAGCGAGCTTGAAGAAACATATGCCAAATGCGTTCTAATTAAATATTCGCATGTCATTGGTCAATTTCGGGCTCAACGATGACGTCAGAAGGAACGACTATATATAGAACGTCGGTCAAATTTGGCCGACGAACACTGATTGGCGCGGTGAGTTCACAGGTTTATTTTAGTTTGAAAGAGTGAAGACGAAGCTCTCTTTTAAGAAGTGAAGTCAAACGAATGCAAAGGGTAAGAATCACATGAAAACTGCATGATTTTGAAAGAAGTTTTTGCCAGTGCCCTCCCCTGGCTACAGGCCTGGCAGTTAATTGTTATGTTTTAAGCATGAAGGTTATTTGTAATCAGGAATGCTATTGTCAATAACTAAGTATATTGTAAGGTTAACACGTTTTATTTTACTTAATTTGTTATTCCTCGTTAACTATCAAAACAGTTTAGTGAATTACCTGTATTAAATATGAAAGTAATAACAGATTAAGAGGTATAATATTTCCCAATATTGTTACATGTCAAGTATACTTAGTATAATTAGCCAATTAAAGAAGTGTCAAAACCAAGTTATTGTAAGGTATAATTATTAGATAACTAAAACAAACAACTTAATTAAAGAGAAAGCAACTGTTGCTATGAAACGATGAATCTGTTTTTGATGGTATAGACCATTGCTTTTGCTTATAACAGATTTAGCCTTTCACGTGATGATAACGTTAGTTTATATTTTGAAGTATTGTGATGATTAAATATTGATAAAATAGAAAGAATTTGGGTAATGTCCAGATTGTTTCAGCTTCATGGTCAATGTTATTGTAAATGCCAGAAAAAAGCTCTTCAAAATTACTAAATAAGTTTCCTACAAGTTGTGTTTTCAAAACATTACATTTAGATTAATTATTTAATGAAATCTGAGGGCCATTGACCAAAACCAAAAAATTATAAACAAATTAGTGTTAACAAAGAAATAAATCATAATGTAATGTGATACCCCACAAATTGAATTTGGAACTTGAAAATATTTACGTATTTTGGGTTTATGAAGAAATACAAGGATGTATATAAAAGGTTTTATACGCAACGATCGGTTTTGAAATAAATTATAGTCATAACTGAATAATTACAAGATCGTAAACAAAAACATCAACCCGTTTCACATCCATCAGTACCTTCTTCATGATATTTCCGCCTTTCATGTATCAACAATCCTTTTATGGGCAAAATATTCCCCGATTTGAACATTTAACCTGAGGGGGTCACATGGAGTGTAACTACACCTCATTAACATGTCAAGAAATTCTAAAGAAAATAAAAAGTATTATTTTTTGTTGGTTGACTTGGATTGATTTCTGCTGGGAAATATGTGAAAAGGGGTGAATGAAAAGAATCTTAACAAAAGATATCTAAAAACCAGTCTACTCACAAAAATTATCTTATAATATTTTTTTGGAATAAATTGGATTGGTATATCAGATTAAAGTCTACATGAAGATATACTCGTAAAGATAACTGATGAGAGTATTAGCTTCCCCTGTTCATGTCATAACCTGGTTTGAGATAGAAAATTTAAAGATGCAATAATAATGCTTAATGAAAGACTAATTGACATCATATTTTTGCATTACTTGGTCAAAAGGTTTGCCAAGTCAGTTAAAAGGTTACAAACTCTGATTGGCTCGGTGAGATCAGAGAGTTCTTGTAAACTGAAGAATTGAAGTCGAACGAATGCAAAGGGTAAACTATTTTGGAGTTACCTACTGCATTAAATTTTTTTGACTGTCTTCAATCTTTATGCTTGAACTATTTTTATGGTGTTATCATATTCAATTATGTGTCAAATGTCCAGGTTTTGTAACAACTTATAAAAAACAAAAATTGACTGGTTGCAGATTTCCTGTTATAAAAACAAGTCGTGCAAGAAGTTTGTTTGTTTGTGTCTGTAAAATATCAAAGATAACTCAGTAAGAGAGTGAACTCCAAAATTCCAGACACTCTAATATTAGAGGTACAGCCCCTCCAGAAGTGTGGAAACTGAAGGTCCCCACTAGAAAGCATTGTAGTTCATGTTTAAGGTAGTGAACATTTATGTTGATAAGGTAGATCCACATGCTGAGAATTTTCTAGAATAAAATTAAAAACAATAAATGAAACCTAATATAGTATTTTGCATATATAGATATTTATACAGTATGGTAGAATGCATTGTTCAAAATCAAAATATTTCAATTAAAGTGTTGAAATGTTTATTTCAAACTTATTTTGAAAATGTCAAACTACCTCAAAAGTCAAAACTGATTTTTATTCCTGTAGTCCTGTAGTCAGTGTAGTATTAGGATGGATGAAGTGTGAATTTATTAAAAATGCCAAACATAAACAAAACAAGCTTTAACCGATGGCTTAAAATGTCATCTACCAGTTGCCAAACTTTTTGTGGGGGTGTATAATGCGAAAAAGGAAAAATGAGTTTCTTTACAGAAATAGACATGTGCTTACCTGTCTGTTTTTACTAATGTAACAACTTCCCACCATTTGTCATCTTGAAAACATTACTTAGATTAAGGTACATTAGTCTGAGTAAGATATATTAGAAAAATACCTGTATTATAGTTTACAATGACTGGCTTTCAAGAATTTGTCAAATAGAATCATTTTTTCACTTCAGTGATGGATGATCTCTTGTGTATGATTCATATTTTGTGTATTATGTATACAATATCTGATGTATCATTTTACCTTGTTTTTGTGTTGTAAAATCATGAAAATATTTACTCCGTAGCATACAAAATTATAGTCTTGCTTTTAGTCCCTGTAACCCGCTTATACCCCTCGTAGTAAGGGGGTCAGTTATAAGACTCCTAGAAGACAATAATGTACTGGTACATTCATTATATTAAGCATTTTACTCATCTCTATTTATCTATTTACAGAGGAAAGTTTGCAGTCGTGAAACTATGCAGTCACAGAGATACTGGGTACAAGTTTGCCGCAAAATTCTTGAAAAAGCGACGTCGTGGCAAAGACTGCCGGGAGGTTATCTTACAAGAAATTGTCATGCTAGAAATGGCGCTGGTTCATCCGAGGTTGATTGATCTTGTTGAAGTCTATGAGACACGTCATGAGATCGTCCTCATCACAGAATAGTACGTAAAGTTTCCTTATCAATTCTACCAAAAAAAAGTAATAGGAATATTTGTCTGAGTTGATTGGCCTTTTAGAACAAATACAATATAAATGTTTCTTTCGCTAGTTCTGTAAAAAGTCATTTGAAAAAATTATTTTGAAAGTCGTGAAATTTTGTCAAGCTTGTAACTTAGAGCTACCTTATACTTCAGCAATATCTGAGCATACTTGGACCAATATGTATTATACAAATACTATCATAATGATGTTTGGTTAAATATGATTCAAAGTGTAATTTTCACTTTGAAGTTCAGTTCGAAAATGTCCACTTAGCCCATTCTACTTGAACACATTTACAGTATGTCCAAGGTTACTAAAACATAATAAAGGTTGTACTTGTTAATAACATGCTGTTATTTATAACCAATTAAATCAGAAAGTAACTTTTATTAATTGCTCAATCATATCCAATTTCTATATTCAGCATATACTCTACCAGTCAAAAAATGTCATGTAACAAGCTGATTTTGCCTGTTTCTCTGTAGTTTACAATGGGAATAACTGATTTTTAGCGTTTCTGTACAATTTGGTAGATTTGCTCCTTGGCTGTTTATTTTATACTTTGTTAATTCTATACTCTTCATTTTATTTTGCAATTATGGAGTATGACCATGATGATATTTTTCTCTTGGGGCAATAACATCACAGTATAGAGGGATCATATTGAGCTTATTGAATAAATTATCAAATACTCATTTCAATTAAATCAATATATTTCCCTGAAAATGCCCAAATCAAAGTGTATTTTCCTCATAAATGCAGAGAAATTCCAAGGAATTTGTGTTTTGCCTTTTCTCATCCTTGTTTGTAGATTGTAATTGTATATGTTGTTTATTTATAAATACACTAATTTGATGAAAACAAATGGAATTCTTTTTGGTACTTCAAACTTTTTGCAAGGTTTATCACTTGGCCTTTCCCTGCCCCTTGACTTTACCCTCACCTTTGCTACTCCAGGCATGAGGAATGTAACGTTGTGGTTTTTGAAATGAAACACAGGGTGCAAAATAAGCATGAAGTAAACCAGTTATTTTATGGAGAGGTTTAAAAGAAAACTTCAGAAATGCATATACTTTTCATCTTTACTACCATAAAAATGCATCTTATTTCTACAAAATAAATAAAATGTACGGTGATCAGGAACCAGAAATAGCTATTTGCCCCTAACACTTAATTTCCTGACTCATTAAACTATATTCCTGTCCATTTTTCAAATTAACACTCAAAATAAATTGTTTTGTCAAAAATACCACCAAACATGAAAGTATGATGACCATTGGTATTACACTTTCCCAGTGATTCAATTTCACTTCATTAAAAGAGGTTTTCATCTTACTAAGAGTTTATGGGTTTTAGGATATATAAAAATGGTCTTCTGGATCTCTGCTATGTGTGCTCTTAAACTGACCATTGAGCTCTTTTGGCAATTCTCATTATTCATTACCAGGTGATGATAACCAGACTGAAGTGATATCAATACTTCTAGAGCAACCCATCAATTTACCTAGTTCTCTAGCTGGAATTGGGATAAGTAAATATGTCAGTTATCAGACCCATAGTCCCAGACTCAATGATTGCATTTAGATAGAGGCCAAATGTAAAAATGGGCCACTTTTGGGAATTGATTGTTGGAAAATGTCTGTTTTCAGTTTTGGTTTTCCATTAAAAGGCGATGATTCTTTGGCAACCTGATCTTCCCCTGAAATCTTTGCATGCTATGAAGGGCTGCCTATGAATGATAACAAGACTATGATTATCTAAAATAAAAGTTTGGCTCAATATTTCAAATCATTCCTTCATTTGTTCTTAATCTGCACTGTCTTTATTATTTAAAATGCCCATAAAGGGGTGGTCTGTTTCTTTTCCCACTTCCATCAAATTCTTTGGTTCTGTATTTTGTACATGTTGACACCTGACACATTATAGATTTCATCCCCATATGGTATCAATGTATGTCAATACCTCTACAGGAATGATAAATCTGCTGAAAGTACAGAGATTGGAGCTTTGAATAGAGAAGACATTCTCCAATCTCCATTACAGAGCTTTATAGACTAATCTCCCCTCTGCGGTTGGTATTGAATACATAAGAGGATAGAAAGGGAGATTGAGATGATGAAATTATTTGTTGATAACCTTACCTGTTTCATTTTCTCACATCAAAGTGGTTGCCTTGGTGTATCATTTCATGCTGTATTTCTCCCTGATTAGCCTGTGGTATGTTGGATATTGAGATGAGACTAAGAATGTGTTATTGATAAATAGGTAGGGACAGTCAGGCTCATTCTGACATACTATATATAGTCTGGCTTCACCCCTTGTGATTCTAGTCTTGCTACAAGTCCTTGTGATTCTAGTCTAGCTACAAGCCCATGTGATTCTAGTCTTGCAACAAGCCCATGTGATTCTAGTCTTGCTACAAGCCCATATGATTCTAGTCTTGCTACAAGCCCATGATTCTAGTCTTGCTACAAGCCCTTGTGATTCTAGTCTTGCTACAAGCCCTTGTGATTCTAGTCTAGCTACAAGCCCATGTGATTCTAGTCTTGCTACAAGCCCTTGTGATTCTAGTCTTGCTACAAGCCCTTGTGATTCTAGTCTAGCTACAAGCCCTTGTGATTCTAGTCTAGCTACCAGCCCTTGTGATTCTAGTCTTGCTACAAGCCCATGTGATTCTAGTCTTGCTACAAGCCCTTGTGATTCTAGTCTTGCTACAAGCCCTTATGCACCTACTTATGAAGTGGATAAAAGGGGGAGAAGGTTCCAGTCTTGAAGCAAGACTATTGTGGTTTCATCTCATTCTTTCTAGAGCACAAATTATCTGGTGAAATATCTATTATTATGGGGGAGGACAGATGGAGGGTATCAACCATAGATTTGAATTTTTCAACTGTTTCCATCTTTAAATGATAATTTTGCCTACTGTTTTCATTAATTTTGCCGATATTTGTCAGAAATTCTAATGAAAATCCTACATATCTGTTCAGATGATATGCAAGCTTGCTGTAATACCTGCCTGAAATATTTGCCAGAAACACAATCGATCAAATCTAAATTAAACCAATACATACTTACTCTAAAGCTGGGATCACTGGAATTAAGAATCAATTAGATTTATCATTTGATTCAGTTGGTAATTATTTTACAACATGGGTTGATTTCTCCCAGTACTTAAATCTGGACTCAAAAAACTAATTTGCATTTTTTAATTGAAAAACATTTTCAAGTTCAAGATAAGATTTATTTTATGAGCATATTGATCAAATAAGGAAGTACGTCAGGTGGTTTGTGTAAGGTGTGTAAAACAGAGATAAATCTTCGTTATTGTTTCCTCGTTCAATTCTGATGTCTCAACGTCACCACTTTAACATGTAAACTATGCACCTAAAGCAAACTATGCAAAAACTTTTTGTAAAAAATGAACAAAAATGTTTGAGCACGAAATAGAAGCACAAAACTATTCTAAATCTTTCAGTTCGCTTAGGGCATTCCCATAAACCTTCAATATGTCAACATTTTCATATTTCTGGCATATATTTTAAAGGACATTATCATCATTATCTCTTTTTAGAGTTTGAATGGCGAGAATGGCGATGGCTTGTGCATTTATAGGTTTTAGGTTTTCAATGTCACATTCTGTGGCATGCTCCCAGTTCAATAGGTTGGTACAAGGGGATGCTAACCTGTCAATTCTCTGTATTCCTTTTGTAGCAAAATAGCACCCATTCTTTGTTGAAAACTTTAATTGAAGCCCTGGATGTTCTTCATTTCAATGTGCTTTAAGTGTGCTCAAAGTGATATTTCTCTTTTACATGTGTTATCCTTGAGTTTTGAGCATAAAGGGATGTATTTTTGTGTTATTTTATTTTCAGTTATCCGTCATAGCGTAATCAGCCAAATATTTTTCATACATCAAATTGCAGTTTCAGTGATTTAGTGCGTGACTCCTAAATGAAACTGTCGGCCTGAATCCAAAAACATTTTGTCATCATGTAACTCCATTCTTTATCAAAATTACAAATCTGTATAGTTTTATTGTGAAGATTGCTTATTGAGTGTGATGTTTTTATTCATTAATTATTTTTTATTTTGTGTAATTTCAATGAAGCTTTAACACAAGATTGAGAAAGTAATTTATTGTCGTTGAACTGTGTTTTACCTTTATTTCAGCTACATTTCCTGTATTTTATGGAGAAACAAATGTTTATGATTTGAAAAGTGGAGAATCTATTGCTATTAATGTTTTTAACATTACAGTGTTGCACGTGTACTCTTGTTTTCATTTTTTCTTAAAAAGACATATTATTTTGCACCTAGAGATCTGTATTACCTTCAGTTCGGTGACTCCAAAAGGTAAACTTTTCAATTTCAAATTTGTTCAAGGCACGAATTGCCAACTTCAATATTAACTTGGGGTTACCCCTCTATTTATAAAGAGCACTAAATCGCACATTCCAATTTCTTTCTGTTCTTCAAAAATGCCTTTATCTTGCATGTTTTTGCACTTATTTTACAATACAAATTTTGTTTTTATGGGTAGCAGTTTTATTAACTAAAAGTTAATGAAATTGAAATTTTTCAAAAAGAAATTCTCACTTTCACAAAATAATGAGGGAGGGAGGGAGGGAGAGGCATAATATTAATAATAATTATTTGTTAAATTACATTTACAGGAAAGGCTATAGAATGTTACAAACACAGTAAGGAAAAGAAGCATCTGAGAACATAGCCATTCAAAAGAAAAACAAACCCCACTATCCCAAACTATTATTGTATGATTTCAAATGATTAACAAAATGATGATATTGTGTTCCAGTGCTGCTGGTGGGGAACTATTTCATCAGTGTGTGGTGGAGGAATCCTTTCGAGAAAGAGATGTGATTAGGCTGATGAGGCAGATTTTAGAAGGCCTGATATTCCTCCACGACAGAAATATAGTCCACTTGGATTTAAAGGTAAGCCATTGAATGTGTAAGTCATCTTATAAACAAAGCCTGTCAGAATGAGTATAACAACAGAGATTTTCATGCAGGTTACAAATTGTAGTCTTGTATCAATCCCCCCCATTCCTCCAGGTGATAGTGAATTGGGGATGCTTTTGTAGATGGTCTTGATTCAAGACTACAAATTGTTAAAAACCAAAAACAGACATTTTCAAACCTGGTTCTTTTTAGTATCAAAATGGCTTACCTATACCACAGGAGGAGCAAATTACAAGAAAATTGAATTAGTTTTAGTGTGTACTATCCAAGTCATAAGTGTCAAAACTCATCAATGGGATTACAAACTGTGGAGTAAAATAAAAGAAACAGGATAAAAAATGTGCTCAAATTGGACCACCTAAGCCACCCTTGACACATGGGTGGTATGAGTTTGTTTAGAATGAGTGCTATATTGTTTTGGTCAGCAAGTTAATTTAATTAGACACATGTATCACATAAATTGTCAGCTCAACTGTTTGCCTTATCAGGTAGCCTGATTAAGTAGAGGGATGGAAATAGAGGAACGAATTACCCTGTTGACTGCTATATGTAGCTGTATATGCTTCAAAATGTCAAATTGAGTTGAAAAATTGCATCAATTTACTCTTACCTACCCCTGGATATTTATTTTGATATTGTTTCAAGAGCATTTTTTGGAAAACACTTCACAAACACTTAAATACTTAAGAAATACTTAATTATTAATTTTTTATGATTAAAATCACTAGGTATTTAGTCCTGGAGTCTCATTGGCTTGTTCTATGAAGACAGGTCAAAATGAGTTTACAGCTTTATTTACATGTAGTCCTGTATTGGGTCATTGAGATAAAGCATTTATACATATTTTTTGAATTGTTTTAAAAGTATTGCGATGTTGAACACATGGAAAGATGCAGTTTTTCATATTCTCCATTGGGTGAAAATAGATTTTCAAATGAGTGCACAAATTTTTGAAAAATGCATTAAAGATTCTAATAGGTGCAACATAATTTTAGTGAGATTCCTGTGTAGGATAAGCATGTAATATTGATATCCCACCAAACAGCACACAGTTATTACACCATTGTCCTGGTAAAGCTTGTTTACTAGCAGGATTACCTGATAGCAAAAGTCTCAGATCAACTTTTCAATTAAAATCCTATTTTTGACAAATTCCATTAATTATCTGGCACAGTGCTACATAAGAACTTTATTCTATTACATCATATAGCTAATATGGGATAAGGCTAATGGTAAATAATTATTGTTACAATCAAATTTTTTATTCTGTCAATCAGTTCATATGGTTAGAATAAGGAAAGAATGTGATGTAACCACATGTCTACTTACTAGCTTGTTCTATGTCATCCATCGGACTAGGTTACATCGTGGAACGCAGCCAAACATGACACTGAAGGCAGTATTCTGAGGTAATAAAATCTAAATTTAAATAATTTCCCATTTGCAGCCCCTTGGAGATTTCCGGAATTGAACAAAGTAGCGAACGTTGCGATCTTTCAACTTTAGTTCGTTGTTTTTTCACCACCTTATGTGTACTGTTTTCATTTAGGAGGCGGTCTTATTTGAATGCATCATTACAGGTCTTTATGAATCAATAGATCAATAAACAGCTCAAAAAATACAATTTAGCAGTTTCTTTCATTGCGTACTGCGCATGTTAGGCACGAAAACAATTTAGCAGTTTCGTTCGTTGCGTAATTGGGCCTTCTATAATCAGTAGCAAATGCTCGGAAAACATTTTCCAAAATATTTACTTCCGTTTTCCTTGAAGACATGATTGGGTGACACGTCATTGACACGTGATTAAGTCACATGATCGATACAGTAACTAGTCACGTGATCAGACATGTGTCACGTGTCAGTCACGTGAGCTTGCAAAATGGACGATCTAAATTTCCAAAAATTCGGCTAAGATCAAGATAGATATGCTGTTGCCTTCAGCGTCCTGTTCGGCTGCGTTCCACGATGTAACCTAGTCCGATGGATGACATAGAACAAGCCGGTAAGTAGACACGTGGTTACATCACATTCTTTCCTTATTCTAACCATATGAACTGATTGACAGAATAAAAAATTTGATTGTAAGAGTGATTTTGTTCATTGGGGAAACTGAACTATACATAGTAAAACCTGTGTATATTGAACATTTTTTGCTGAGAAAAAATGTTCAGTGTTGGTAGGTGTTCACTACAGAGAAGGTAATTTATACAGAAGTCAGTTCAGAGTTTATGCGGGGTAAGAGTGTTCATTAAAGTAAGGTGTTCACTAAGACAAGTTTTACTGTACATGTATACATGTATTTCTCATTACCCTTTTCCATGGCCTTAATATCCCCAGGATTCGGGAGGATGTTGTTTTTTTGGAATTGTCGCTTGTCATGTTCATCTGAAAGAAAACAATGGTTTTAGAGTCACCATAAGTTATGATTGGAGTTGTACCAAAAACACACTTAGACACACTTTTGGAACAATCTTTCTCACTCTAGATAAAAATTAGATCTATCAATTAGCAATTTTAGCCTCTCGTTACTACAACTGATTCTACAGATTTGATGCTGACAGGATCTCCATGATCTCTAATGGTTCTTTGATGTCCTTTAATTGGGGATTTTTATTGTGAAATTGAATGTTGATGAGATTGAGCTCTTGTGAAGGTTAAGTACACCAATTTGGCTTAATAAACAAGAGAGTGTTGCCAACTCTTGACTAAGATGCTAAGTTAATTAGAAATTACTTAATTAAAGGAAGAGATAAGAGAAAAAATCCCAACAATTTTTTTACTGAGAATTGAGTTATGTAAGATATGTATACATGTACATACTGTAGTCAAGTCATCATACACTTTAGTACAGTTCACATAGCCCGCGGGGAAAAAATGAACACATTTAGCTGACATCATAATGTCACATTATGGACTTCAACCAAACTTTTTTTGTCTTGTGGTCAGATTTCATTAGAGAACATCTATCATATATTATGTATATTTTTATCTAATATCTATAAATACAATTTGAACTGTAATAATAACATCTCTATAGGTTGTATTTATAGTTTCATGTGACGAAAAGTGCATTCGGTGCTTGATCCTTTTTTGGTATTTATATGTTGTAGTTTTGTAAACTTACATATGATAACATATTATGTAAAGTAGCCAAAGGCATTGCAGACATATTAGAGAATACTTTCAAAGCACATATCAATCAAGCCTTTGGCCTATGGACTACATTATGAGTATTTCTTGATCCCAATTACATGTACCAATCAGATTTAATGAAATAGACAGTACCTATGATCATTTTAGTTATGTTTACAATTTATTTAGTTCAATATAAAGTTTTGTCTTTATAGACTATGTTGAAATTACATTTCCTCAAATTAATTTATCAATTTTTTATGAAGTTGCAGATCTACCTTAACATGAAGCCTTATTTCTGGGGCATTTTCTGAAATGGATGTAGAATTCTCAGTTTACTTGTTCTGATTTAGAAACAACTTAAGGTTTCATAATTGTTGAGATGGCAACTTCAGAATCCAAGCTGGACCGTGTTTGTTTAGGTCATATATTACCTTGTGAGTGGGCACAGGTGATAACATCTTTGAAGTATTGAGAAGCTTTACATATGAGACAGAAGTCTTTTCTTAGTGATCTTTATGAGACAGCAAAATGTGGTTCATTCCTCCATATTTCATTTTAATTGATTTAATGGGGACATCCCAAGTATTTCTTCGAGAATCACATCCTTTAATGAATAAGTTTTATTTTATGATGGACATTGACTTTTCATGCTAATGCTTCCAGGTCTAAATTATAAACTTGGCATCAAAAATAGGGTTTCAAAGCACTAATCAGATATGACTATTACTGTTCGTCTCTCACAAGTGGCCACATATTGTTGTAGTTTCCAACTTTTTTGTGGCGGCGGATGGTGTTTGGTGGTTGATATTCAGAGTTTGTTGTCTATAACAAATGGCAGGTGGTGCAATTTTGCATTTTAGTGCCTAATGTTCAGATGTGTTATTCTCTGGACTAATAAAGATGGTTTCTGAAAAACTGTTTGGTCTGATTGTGGCATTCTGGGTAAACATGTTATGTGTTTTGTTAACCATGATGCATAATATGTCAGAAAATGACTGACAGAAGAATGTTGGTTTATTTTGAAACTTTCCATTTTTACCCATGTACCATATATCTTACATAATGCAAGCAGGAAATTATTAAGCACAAGATAAGCCTTTGTATGAGTACATATAGTACATTTAGGGCAGCTGGTTTGCCTCAAGAGGGTGGGCGTGTGGCTAATTAAGTATCATAATGCACATTTATATCAAATAACTTTTTATAAGAAATGGTTTAGGAGTCCAGAATGATTAATATATGAGGGTTGATCCAAAAGTTCTGCACTGTTTGCTCTAAATGGTCCTATGTTGCTGTGTTAATGGTCAAATTTTTTACTTAATTTTTACACAAAATGATACTATTTATAAGGTGGATGAGGCCATATATTAACAATATTCATAAAATATTAAGATTTTTAGAGCAAACAGTGCAGAACTTTTGGATCGACCCTTGTATATCCAATGGTTGTTTGGATATTATATATTATAAGCAAGATATATTTTGGCTCCCAGTGTTAGTTCCACTCCCACTTCATGATGTTGTATTTGTTATAGCTGAGTTATACAATCTTCCCCCCTCCCCCCAGATCCTGTGTGTTCTTTTTAAAGGCAAGAATTGGCTTATCACAAGGGACATGATGCAAGACTATCATTTTCTAATTGTACTCTGGTGAAAGGCAATAAGCAGGGTGGAACAGGGTTGTTATAGAAAGCAGTCCATGCCCTTCATAAGTTTTATCTAACATAAACACAAGTTATCAGTGAGGGTGTGGGTTATGCTACCCTGCGTGCAGAGTCTAGTTAAACTACACTCTGCCTAGTAGAGACCATATTACAGTTTAGTAGCCCCGCCCCCAC